ACTCGACAAAAAAAGGTATATAAAATGATTCGTACTAAACTTTAGCAGGCGTTTAGCTCTTTGGACGAAGGCTATATTTAATACTTAGAGATTGTGTGTTTCTGGCCGAAGATGTTCTTCCAGGACTTTCGTCGCTACCTATAGAATGACTTTCATTTCATTTCCCACAGTTATATGTTCATACCGTTTGGGGTCCTATAAAGAGGATCTGTCGGCCTTCTCTGGCTAGTTGGTCGGGCATTTCATTATTCGTAATAGCAGTGACCGTCCAGACCCACTTCTGCCGTTTTGAAGGATTTCTAGGGGAATTGTCCTAGAGTCCTGGAATTTTTAGCAATAGGTAGCCTTACCTTCATGGTGTGCAAGACGGTCATTTCCCAGCCTTAAAGGGGAGGTCCCCCATTGATTGTTTCCTGAGATGCTGATTTTTATAGTCAAATGTGCATAACTTTTACATGCGACAACCAATTGGTCTCAACAGGCAGCCCAATTACAGAGAGGATATGCGAGCACGCACACCGATGCGGCGGTTCGCACGCATATATACCGCTGTAGAAATATTTCCCGCATCCGTACCGCTCCCGCTCCCGCGTCCGCATGTCCGCGTCGGTTTGCGTGGACCTTAATGCTTTTTAGAGGTGCTTCTGCAAAAGGTCTTAAGTTGTTCTATACTACTCCGGTATTTACCTTGTGAATTAGGAAAACCGCAGGAAAACCTAATTCGGAGTAGCCCGCAGAATACTCGAAACTGGTCGGGTAATTCCCATCTCTACTACAAATGAAAAATTCACCTCAACCCAGGTTGGAACACTCAACCTCCGAATTTATAGTTCAACGCTCTACCACTGAACCATAAAGCATGCATGTAATGGTTCCATTTAAAACTTTTGTAAATTGGCGGTGGGGGGGGGGGGGTTGTAAACAAACGTTCTTCCTCTCATGGTATTATTATGAAAGGTCTCATCGAAATAAACAGGTGTGTAGAAACTATAACTTTCCCGCGCGACTCTTTTTTTAGATCCGCGGGTGATAGGACCAAGGGGAGGAGGGATTAAAAATGAATTTTATCTTTCATGGTATTTCAGTTAAAGGTCTCAACAAAAGGTGCGGGTTTCTACTAACTACCGCCCTTCTTTCTCACGCCTTATCAAAAGAGGGGGTTGCGGGGACTGGTTTTATCCTTCATGGTACTCTAATGAAAGCTCTCAACGAAAGGAATTAATTTCTACCAATCCTTATCCTCCTCGGCCTCTTATCGTGATCGAATATATTCCATATTCCCTTAATTATATCTCCAGGATCGAAGAGAGTACTCACGAAAGGAAAATGGAACGTCAGGAAGGGACATCTATTGGTGATGTCAAAGCTTTCAGTGTAAATATCTGCAGAATGGATTGTCGGAAGAATTTGAGTATATGCCAGGCGGCCTTTAAATGTTTATGGGTAAAGAGCCTCCTCCCCATTAATCATCTACCAAGACAGTAAACATGGATAGCATGCTACTACTTTATAACCCAACCATTTACTACGCTATTTCGGTTAAAATCGCTGTATCTACGTTTTTAGTCTTTTGGTCGGTAGTTTACAACCCAATTTTATCTAAATAACCTCACAAATAATTACTCCAGCAAACGTATGATTAATCTTTTGCAAACAACGAAGATAAGATATGGGTAGGGAGGCAAAACTGTTACCTACACCTGTACAGTTCTATTCTTAACAAAATAATACTGCGTACATAAAATGAAAACCGCCATCGGTGCTGTGTTTGTAATTATTTTTGTTTTCCACGTTAAATTGCATCCAATTGGGTATAATAATACCTGCGCAAAGGTGGAATGCCTTGACGAAGAATCTTGTCAAACATTTGGCGGGATGCCTTTTGAGTATGAGTAAGATGCCAACGGCAGGTTATGTTGCTATTAAGTACGTTACCTTCATTTCAGGTTACCATGTTCGATAGACAACACTTCCTGCTGCTTTCTGTAACATTTACCTACTATTAATGTCGGTACAGCGTTGATTTAGTGAAGACTATAAGGAACCAAATAAGTTAGAATTAGTTACTGGTATAATGTTACTAATAATAATTAAAAAAACGCGACACGCAGCCTAAAAATGATGTCCTTTAATATTGTTAAATCGTTAATGGCCAATGAAACCAAACCATTGTCCTGGGATCTTCGTTCAAACATTCATTGTAATTTAATGTTAAATTATGTGTGTAATGGACGTTGAGAAATGAGATTTGTATCGCTATAAATTTCAGAATGAATTTTAGAGTGTTCGGAGGTTTTTAAAGACCTGTTTCAAAGTGCTTCCAGAGTTGCGCTTAGAGCACTATTATAGAGAATTCGATCTCCCTCCCAGGTCGTTTTTAGCGCATTTCCACAAAAATAAAAAAAAATGCGCTATTGTGGCCACTTTGTCCGTCCGTCCGTCCGTCCGCTAACTTTGCGACGCTACTAGTTCTTTATCTTAAGAGCTATTGTTCTACTTTTTTCGCTATTTGGTTCGTTATGGTGTCGAGTCTTGTACCAAGGAAGGAATTTTTTCTGTACCGCTTACAAAAAAAGTTATTGTAAAAAAAACAAAAAACCGTTTTTTACATGTTCCATAATTTTACACTTTTGCCGTTTATTAACGATCCTAGAGATCGTTTATAATTTTGCATTACTATCTGTCGTCTGCCTGTTGGTATGTCCGTCTGTTCCTTTGTCCATCTATCTGTCCGTGTGAACGATAACTTTGTTTAGAAATGTTCGATCGCTTTTACATCTCCGTTAGTTATGAACTGAATTGCATGAAATTCAATATGGGCATATAATAGATTTAGCCATATGATACGCAATGCCAAAAGTTGATCGAATCGATTCAAAATTCACAGTGCCCTTTTCGCATCTCGACCATTTATAAACCGAATTGCAAACTTTTTTACTTATAAAAGTATTTGAATGAAATTTGATACATAGGCACTTTGGAATAAAGGAAAATCAAACGCCAATTTCAAAATTTGGTTTTGCGCATGCGCAGTGCCAACTTTTTTATTTATGGAAGAATTTAAACGAAATTTGATAAATAGGCACTTGGGATAAAGGAAAATCAAACGCCAATTTCAAAATTTGGCTTTGAGTGCCAACTTTTTTATTTATGGAAGAATTTAAACGAAATTTGATACATAGGCACTTGGGATAAAGGAAAATCAAAAGCCAATTTCAAAATTTGGTTTTGCGCATGCACAGTGCCAACTTTTTTATTTATGGAAGAATTTAAACGAAATTTGATACATAAGCACTTCGAATAAAGGAAAATCAAACGCCAATTTCAAAATTTGGTTTTGCGCATGCGCAGTGCCAACTTTTTTATTTATGGAAGAATTTAATCGAAATTTGATACATAGGCACTTGGGATAAAGGAAAATCAAACGCCAGTTTCAAAATTTGGCTTTGCGCATGCGCAGTGCCAACTTTTTTATTTATGGAAGAATTTAAATGAAATGTGATACATAGGCACTTGGAATAAAGGAAAATCTAGCGCCAGTTTCAAAATTTTATTTTGCGCATGCGCAGTGCCAACTTTTTTATCTATGGAAGTATTTAAGTGAAATTTGATACTTAGGCGCTTGGAACAAAGGAAAATCTAACATTAGTTTTAAAATTTAGGTTTGCGCATGCGCAGTTCCAACTTTCTTATTTGGAAAAGCATTGAAATGAAATTCTTCTCATAAACTGAAATTGAAGTAGCACGTCAACAATGGATTGCCCATGTGCAACGCTATCTTTCATATTTGTGGCCGGATTTTACGATTTTAACAGAAGTTGCATCTTACAAATGGGAAATGAATGCAAGTGGAAATGCGCTTTATGTAAATCGTTTACGATTACTTTTTAACTTGTTAAAAGTTTATGTCACTGACAGGACGTTGCAAACTCTCTACAGAACATTTTGCGCTCTTCTTTCTAGGAGGACATTTCAGAGCCTGTCATATTTACCTCGCCCTATAAATAATCTAACACATCTCAACTCTCTCTTCATTTATGGTCATTTATAGTAGAGCTAGGGACTTTCCAGAAGCTTCTGTGCTACATCGGAGTTTACAACGTATTACCACTTTCTAGTACTTAGTTTTCAATGCTTTCTGGACGCAGCTGTTCAAAAGCGCCTAGGAAAGTCTAGAACTGACCTAAGGAGACGAGAGGTTTTAGTAAACGATATAGAAATCGGGAAAATTGCAACGCCTTTCAATGTACTTGTTCGAGGACTATGTAGGCAATAAACTTATAACAGGATATCTTCCCAGTGTATGCAGGAACCCTCATCCAATAGCAGCAGGGTAATTTTCCAGAAACGTCTGTAAATTCGTTTGGAAAAATTCTTGGAAGAATCTGGCAGCTGCATTACGAAATAAATGTGTATAACTTATGGAACATGGAACTACGGCCTTGTTTGTCTATTCTGCTTTTCTTAAAAACAATAACAAAAAAAAAAGTTTAGTTTATTACTCCTGTTTGACAAGATGAACAGCCATAAAGGAAAACTTTTGAGTGAATATGTCGTGGAGAGGGTAGTTTGCATTTAATTTTATTATAAAACCTTTTTGGAAAAATCTCCACTTTTGGTGTGCATCGTGTGATAATTATTCTTCAAAGTTTGAAATGTAGTGTTAATTGCTTTGAAAAGTAATTCAATTTTTCTGGCGAAAAAATTTACACACCCTATTCGCTCTAAATCACTTTATTATTTATAAGCACTGGTGGTGACCTTCAAATGGATTGGAAATCAAAGGTAAGTTTTAATTTTGTCACCTTGTGCATTGCTCTCCGACCGGCGATTACCGATAATTAAGGATGGTCAATTTACAACTTTGAGTGTATGTTCCGCAAAAAATTATATTGATCCGCAGTATGTCTTGCGAGAAAAACTTAATTGTAACTGAATGAAAATAAACTTACATATAATTGATAACATAAATATGTAACAACATGAACTTCAAAAAAGTTAATAGTATATGACTATATTAACATGGTTTGCGAGAAATGACCATGATGACCATATGCTTGCACAGCTTTTGGTAAGTGCGGCACATCGTGAACGGCATGTCCGGATTTAATAACTTCGGCATTGAAACCACTCTTGTGATCCGCTGAATACTTTACAGTACGTACTGTTCCATCGGGTTCGTGCAATGAGTATTCTCCCTTTACGACGTCTCCATCGCGTACTTCGTGTTGATTATGAAAATCTTTCGTGTGTGGGTCGGCCACGCCATATTTAAATTCATATTTAGGATGACTCTGTATATGTCAATTTATGTACAAGTTGCACTTCTTGTTATCCTACAACTTACGTGATGATGAAGGTCCTCATGTTCGTATGCAGAAAGGTGATGTGCAGCTTGGTGACCTACGTTGAGGGATGTGTACGATGAACCATGCCCATATCCATGTTTGTGTTGTGCATAACAGATCGAGAAATAATAAGTAATTATACCAACCGTCTAAAACAATCTCTGTGCCAACCATTTATACAGAAAGTAATACTTACAATTACAATCATTTTTTAACAAACTACTGAAGGGTCCTTCACGAAAGCGTACAGTACACACACTCGCATATTCTCAACAAATCGGCGTAATTTATATGAAACCGTTTCATTACTTAACCATGCTATAACCCAAAACTATGTCATAATCAAGGAAACAAATCAACACTTACAAATCTTATTTTAGCTAGAGCAGCATTTAATTGCATTAGTAGTGCCTAATAAACGCGCTAATCAATTGGGAACTTTATGTAACAATGGTTGTTAGGACCGGAATTATCTGCATTAGTGGTTCAACTGGTGTAATAAAGTAATAAACCGAAATCGGAAAGAAATTAACATAAATGCAAATACAATAACAATAGAAACGTAATAACATCAGCGGTTTGTTTTCAATTTCAGGCTTTTAACATCCCCATTAGCGCTATTGAATGACTGTAGTGGAATTACATGTTTCTACGTAACTTATTGTATAGTTCGTTAGTTACAGAGAAAGCTGAAGTTAGTGGGCGTTCTTCAATAAATAGTGTACAAGGTACCAGGTAAGGTATTAACTAATTATTATTTTAAATTCTTTCTATAATTTTAGCCAGGGGGAGTGTCACGTTCTCTGTAAAGTAACTGTACCATTGGTTGTTTGAGCTGAGGTAGAGTCATCATTTATGTTATCGACATTGCGCCCTAAGCACAACCCCAAAAAATTTATACAACCTAACACTTTAAGCACGAGGGCGTCTTTTTGGTTTTCCAAATAACTACGAACCAAATAGTACAATCTTCAACAACATTATTCCTTGACATAACCGCTATCTACACGAACACATTTAGTCCACCATTTCTCCAGCTGTTTCATTCCATTAAAAAAAGAATCATTTGTTTGCGCTGTAAAAGTCCTTAGATTCTGAGGGAAATTTGCAACCCCTGAGGTATTTTTTTTAGCGGCATGGTCATAAATATGGGCTGTATGCGGCAATCCTGTGAAGACACAGTTTGCGACAATAGCTTAAACATTGGCGAGCCTTGAGGATCATGTAATTTTTGTGCAACAACGCAGTTCTATCGTAATTGTTTTAAGGTCCCTTTTTAAGCATTCAATCTAGTTTCCATAAACTTCACCGTAAATTGTGGTCCCTTTTGCCATGTGTTCAGTATGGAAAGCGCCATGGAAGTTTCAAAAAGATGACTGTAACCAGTTTTCCAGACAAAGACTGGGATTTTGCTTCTAAGTGAAGGGTCCTTATGCTCTTGACAATTTTTTCCCTGTTTTAGCTCAGGAGACGGATTAAGCAGACACTTTTTCATACCCATCGTGTATAATCTTGAATATTGTACTTTCACCGACACCAGTTTGTTTTGCAAGCAATGGGATTATTAGTGGTCGATCGGATAGTAAGTCTTAAGCAAGTCCTATTGTTTCCTCGGTTCTTTCCTTAATCGGTTTTTGTGATCTTGGGTCGCCGTGAATCGAATCTCGACCCCCTCGAAGTCGTTTTGACTATGCTCCAAGTTAGTTCACACCTCCAGAAAAAAATGGCGTCTAATGCAGTGTGGTGGATACTGAGCAGTTTTCGTTTGCGTTTTAAGAGGAGCAATTCTGAGGATTAGGCTTTTATTTTATCTAATTTAATCGAAAGAGGAGAAGAAGAAGGAGAGATAGATGTGAGTTTATCGGTTCATCCAATAAACCCTCTCTCCAAAAGAGCAAATCAGCACTTTCCCTCCACACAATGTTAACCCTACTACAAACCCATGATAGCACCTAGATGATAGATCGTACTATGACCCCCCTCGCCCCCAAACAAAAAGAAAACAGGAAAGAATCGTGAGGGCTCTGGTGTTCGAGCAGGAAGATGTACTCGAAAAGAAAAAAAAGTTTAATATTCTTCCCAACATGGCCGTCTGCGACGCCTTTTGATTGCCCGGTATCATCAACTAGTCTGTAAATCAATGGCGAAATCTTTATCTTTATAATAAATGGTCCTATGTACTTTGGTGCAAATTTGCCCGTGAAATTTCTCGCCTTCTTCGAATTATTGGAGGCGCAAAGAATATTTTTGGTACGACTTTGTCGTGAATGATGTCCTTTTTCATTTTCGGCCAATAATAACGAGCGTTCAAATGTCTTATGGACTCCGGATTTACCTGCAGTTTGGTGAAGGTAAGACACACGTAAGATTTCTAAACGTCTTATTTTTTGTAATTCGAACTTGTCTATATAAACGAGGATCCTCTTGTCTATACGTTTGATACTTGAGATGCTGGGTTTCCACCAATTGCAACATTGTCAGATACCATTTGTCTCTGATTGGTGGCTTGTCAGGTAGATTGGTAATGGTGGCTATTTGAGGTTGTGATCTTGAATGAAAATCAGGGACTACGTGCTCCCTGCCCATACGATGAATGTCTTCAAAATCGCATTGAGAAAAGTGCGAATCTACCATTTGGCTCTTTCAGCTTATTGAGTCAAGGTAATGAGCGATGACCGTGATAACGAAATATTTATAACTCATGGAAGCATCGTATTTTTTAATGGCCCAAATCACCGCTTGGCACTCACGTTCCGTTTCTTTCGGTGCGTAAAAGGATCCCACTGAGATAGCATACGACTTGTTCTCCATCAGCGTCAATTCTCTTGACTTTCGCTACTGGCACATGCCAATACGCCGATTTCATTTGGAGTTGCTCAATTTCAATTTTTGCTGGTTGACAAATGTGGAAGCAAGCGATTTATACTTTTAAAGTTGTAAACCTAAAGATTTTGTTAATTGAAATCCTTTGCATCTCACCACACTTCGATTGGTACCGGAATCTAATAAACCTTTAATTTTGTGTCCTATTCTAGAACTCTCACTTCAATATTTTCGGCACCTTCCGTATGCGAAAATATAAAATTTGAAACAGTACTTATTTAGTTGGTGATTGATGTAATATTTCTATTTCCTCTTCTGCTTTTGGTTAAAGTTCAATGATTGAATTAAGTGGCACCCTTGGCCGTTTCCCGAACACGAGAGTAATCACGTAAAGTAACGTTTGGTTTCCCGCACTAATAACAGTGGATACGTTTAGGTTAAGCACATGATATGTACATTGAATGATTAATTCTTTGTAGCTTTATTATTGTTTGATTGAGAGTAGTTCAGTGTTGACAATTATCACCAGTTTATACTCGTATATTTAAAAAAAACTTATGTAAACATGTACCATGTGCTCGAATATCTGAATAACCTAAGAAACGGTCCTTTTTTTATTGACCATAGTAATTCTGTGAAAAAATGCTTCACACTTGGTAAGTTAATCGACAATGTATCTCTAATAATAACATACTGTATACTATGTACCTACTACAGCCTATAAATGGTGAATCAGATAGCCTTGTGGAATAGATATATTTAGGAACATTAAAAAATGAGACTACCGACTCTCCTGCGTAATATACGTAGGTACCTAAAATTACAAACAATAGTTTCACCTTTATTACAAACCAACACTCAAAATTAAAATTTTTATTTGCATTGCTCTGTACAATTATTCACGTTGATCGATTTTATCTTTTATCACATATTCTCAGCGTTCTCAGATCGTCAACATATTCGTATATTCTGATATTGCGAGATACAACAATAGGAGCGCGGCATGCTTATATTATTTACATTTTCATTTCCGTTAAAGGCCAAGGATATGGTTTAGTTCCTTCTGATGTGTGTTTTCAATCATCTTGCCATCTGAAAGCAGACGTCGTAAACAGCTTATAACCCTTTAATATTAAATTGCGTACCTGGACACCTTGATGACATTATACAGAATCGGGAACGGGATCCCAAGTCAGCAGCTGTAAACTCGTGGATTTCGTTATTGCGGAGCTTTTATTGAATATCCTTTTCGGTCCGCTCGATACCTTCCCGAAGTTGGTGATGTACTTTCCTCTACTTGACTGTATACTTCTCGTGTAAATTTTTAGCACGTGACAATTGCAGGTCACCAACATTGCAATGATGATGCCTTGTAAACTTTGAACGGTATTGTAGGATATCCAAACCGCTTCCAGCTTGAAGAACTTGGACAACGCCCCCAACGTTACAACTAACGTTAAGATCATAGTAATCTGCAAATAAACATAATTTGTATCAATCTTTTGCTAATTTAACCGACTTGACAGTACCAATAATCAGAAAAGTTAGCAATAATGTCAGTTTTAGTTGAAGCACGCTGTACATAAGCAAGAGAATTAATCTGTATTGAAGCTTAGTCCCATACGGTATCAACCTCCCCAAGTTGGCGTTTACTTAATGTTGCCAGTTCTGGTAAACGCCCCCCCCCCCTTCAGTACAGCGGATGAATTAAGAGAATAAGGTGTGGTGTCACACTATGCGTTGTTACCGCTCCTGCTAAAACGCTCCTGTTTGATGGGATGATAATATCACACGATATTAAATGGTAGCAGCCACATATATGCGGTACCGCTGGCGTCGCACCAACAGGATGTCACCGCTTCATGCTTCCGCTGCGCAGGATGACAGGACAACCGCAATGACACGAAAACACGTGCAGTTGCACATTGGTCGTCATACTTGAACGTTTCAAACGCATGTTTTTTACCACACGCACGTTCGCAAGGGAGATATTGCACTAGTGACACCCCCCCCCCCCCCCCCCCCAATTTTGTGTGACGGACATACGTTTTGAAGCACCAGGAATCTGAATCAAACAACATTTTTGATGTCGGTCTGTCCGTCTGTACTCTTCATTTTCAACTAAACCGCTGAACCGATTGGCACGAAATTTGGTACACATATTCTTAGACATAAAAAAGGGCTGACAAGCTTTTGGGCAGAACGACCACGCGCAGTGCGCAATGATGAGGCAAACTGTGACGTGTTGCATGACACTGCTGGTAAACTGCGTGCCGTTGTCTCAGATGATTTTCCTTGACGTGCCGAATCTTAGAAAAACTTCGTTGATTAACGTCCGGACGTCGGTAAGGCGAACAGTTCTTTACCCATCGGGGTACTGTGTCCTCGACGATGGCTATCCACTTTTCTTGATCTTGTCCAGCAGGTACCGGTCTAAAAAGGTCACAATTATTTTAAATCGTTGCTCCA